AATGATTCTTATAACAATGATTCTTCAATGATAAACCATACAGCTAAGTCCCGCTTCCGTCCCTGTCATGCAAAATTCCATGAATTTCAATGATTTTCTCATTAAATTCCTGGAATATTGCCTAAGTTTTAAAAGTAAAAAAAATCCATGATTTTCCCAGATATCCCATTCCCCTAGAGACCTTCTATATACCTCCTATATAACAATAATATATAGCAATAATGCTTTTATGCCGATTCTTCTTTCATTTAAGACAATGTATTAAATGAGCTCTTTTTATTTTAATGCTTACGAATAATTACCAAATAAAAAATAGAGCATTAAAATGTTATCTTTTTTAATCATGTAGATATTTCAATTAAGCACTGAGCATTGAAAATTAAATTTAATCATAATCATATCATAGTAAAATCAATTAATTATTTTAAGGTTCTCTAATACATTATTGAGAATTTATTTTAGCATTAGGTTAAATATTTGTCTGATGAGGTGACAAAGTAATATTAGATATTTTTATAATATGTTTAACATGTTGATGGCTGTCATTTATAGCAATTTAAAAAGTAAATTAATTAGTTCTACAAATTAATATATTATATATAAGAATTATAATTAATAAAAACTATTACTTAATAAACTCATCTTTCTATGTTGTTCAGTCAATTTTAAATCAATTTATAATTATCATACTGAGTCAGTGACGGTACTATATAAGATGAGTTATAAAAATTAGTTTAAAAAATCAATCAACTTATAAAACTACATAAATAACACATGCAATCTACTCGTTTATTTTACAAAAAAAAAAAAAATCATTTTTACCAGAGGGAAAGTTTCCATTTCTATAACGCATTCATTAATCATCAAATAATTACATATATATTATATATAGTAACCGCGCTAAATCCCGTTACTACCATCATTCCCTATCCAACTCGCCCAATACCAAGGCTACGTGGGCTATTCTTAGAAAACTGACCATTGGTAATACACCCCAGTCTCAGTCCAATTCCGTTTCTGCTGATAACCTCAACGCTCACTTTGTCTCCTGTCCTCTTGCATCCACATCTCCCACGTCCAGTCTGGCTCCTATGTTCTCTTCCTTTAATCCTGATCACTTCTTTCTTTCCCATATTACACCAGATGAGCTCCTTAAATCCATTCAGAAGTCCCATACCAATGATTACGGTCCCGACAACATCCCAGTCAGACTGATTAAAGCCGCATTGCCATCCATTCTTCCGATCCTTTATCATATATACAATTATTCTCTTCAAAATGCTACCTTCCCTACATCCTGGAAAACCGCCCTAGTACGCCCATTGAAGAAGACTTCAAACCCATCAGTTCCTAATGATTTCCGACCGATTTCCCTCCTTTCAAACCTCTCAAAACCACTAGAGCGGTTAGTCCAATCCCAGCTATCCCATTTTTTAGAGGACAATAATCTCCTAAATCCCTACCAGTCTGGATTCAGGCCTGGTTATTCTACTCAGTCTGCCCTAATCAAAATTTCCCAAGACCTTCACACAGCCATAGATCAGCAGAAACTAACCATCCTTATTCTCCTAGACTTCTCCAAAGCTTTTGATTCAGTAGACCACAACATCCTCCTAACCAAACTTAAAAATATCTCTTTTTCTTCTAGTTCCCTTAATTGGTTCCAATCCTTCCTAACCGGTCGCTCCCAGTACGTTGTAATTCCTAATAACCCACCATCAGAATCTCTACCTCTGACCAGAGGCGTCCCACAAGGCTCTTCCTTATCCCCCACCCTTTTCTCCATCTATATAAATGACCTCCCATCCTCTATCCTGCACTGTCATTACCACCTGTATGCCGACGACATTCAAATTTACCTCTCCTTTAATCCGACAGATATCTCAGATGCCACTCAAAAACTTCAGGAAGATATTGACAGAATAAGTGCTTGGGCAAACCTCAATAGGCTCACTCTGAACGCCGAGAAGACAAAAGCCATCTTGATCGGATCCCCTTCACTCCTCAAATCCTCCCCAGTATCTCCCAGTCTCTTCCTGAACAACTCACCTATCTTATTCTACACCACCGTTAAAAACCTAGGTGTTACTTTCGATCAATCCCTATCCTGGAAACCTCACATCTCCCAAATTTCCCGTCGCACTATCTCCACCCTAAAACAGTTCAATCGTCTACGATATCTCCTTCCATATAAGTCCCGTCAACTCCTAGTTTCCTCCCTTGTTTTCCCCCACTTCGACTACGGCTGTATGGTGTACGGTGGACTCCCGGGAGATTCCGAGGCCAAACTTAAACGCCTAATGAATTGCGCACTACGATTTGTTTTCGGAATCTCAAGGGATACGCATATTACCCAGTATTACACTGAGTTGAGGTGGCTCTACCCATCCTATCGCCGTCAGTACTTCCTAGCCACCTTTCTGTACCAAATTATTAGAACCCATCGACCCTCCTACATTTTTCACAGCTTACAATTCAAATATTCCATCCAATCCCGTCCCACCAGATCTCGTACTTCCGACCTCTATCCTCCTCCTCACCGAACTGCTGCGTTTGACAAATCCTTTGCAATACAAGCCGCCTCCCTCTGGAATTCCATCCCACCTGATATTCGACACGCTCAATCAGTTTCCTCGTTTAAACCACTCCTCTTTAAGCACCTACTCCTTTCTCAATCCGAATGAATGCGAAATATATCTCAGAGAAATATCTGAGCACCACCAGAGAGTACCTCAATTTATTAAGGTTATTTTAGTTTATCATACATATGTACAATTTACTTGTTCTTTTTTTTCTCTTTTCTGTATTTTTATCGTAAGTCAACTTTCATTGTAAATATACAATTCAATTGTAGCCACACAGACATATAATCTGTATTCATATTTTGTTCTTAAGGGACAACAGTCCCAGAATAATAAAACATTTTTTTCATTTCATTTCATTTCATTTTCATATATATTAAGTTAGTTTTTTTTTTTATTCTAACTCAATTTTATGTTGACTCTAGACTTTCTAAATGTTTTTAACATCATACGGATTGCATGAATAGTTTTATAAAAAATAATAGATTTCATTATTTTTATAGTTATATAATTGATAAGTGATTAGGGCCCAGGAAAGTAATTAATTAAAGTCATCGAAGGTAAATGGGGGCGCGTGCCAGGTTTTTATACCGGCAACAAGGGGATGGGGCAGAGATGGATTTAACGTGTCTCATTACAGAATTAAAACATTCATACAAGGGGACTTCTCTCTCCGTCACGTATCAATCAACAACTGCTTAAAAGCAAATTAATAGTAAAAAAACGTTGATGGAACAGAATGTTCTAAAAAACCTGGGACTAGAAAAGAAAAATCTACACATGCAATTCAACTATCCGTGAGTAACTGAAATTACGGAGAAAATGTCAAGTTAATAATAATAGGAAAACTGAAAAGGTTACAGAAACAGAGGGAAAATTTTCCGGAAGGGGCGGGGGAAAAGAGGGTTGTAATTGGCTTATTATTTTAATTGTTATGCCCTCGGAATTAGAACTCTTTTCTGTAACTGATGACCCCTTTACCTATCTCATTTAGAAATTGAATTGTCGGCTTTTGTATTTAAACTTTTAAATAGAATATAATAATTGGTATATGGTTTTCTACAAGCTATTCCTTTATTAAAATAATATATGAGAAAATAAATATAATTTACATATATTGTCTAGTTATTTTAGTCCTTGGGATGTTTAACCATATTTTTTAATTTAATTTTATGTACTCTGTTGCAATGATAACTTTAGTTACAATATTAAATTGCCAACACTCTAAATATTTATTCTTTTTTTTTTTTAACGGTCCGTATTTTTCTACACACAATAGCCTCAAGGAAATTTCATATAACTTTACCACTTAAAAGTCTCTATTAAACGTATAAGGATCTCAAAGTGAAAATAGGTACTTATAATTATTTGATACAGTTGAGTCCTAAAAAAAAAAAGCACACCCCTATAACAAACCAAAAAATTGTACTCATTGTGTCAGAGAAGATCGGTGACATGACAATAGAGGGCGGGGTGGTCACCGGACTGTGATGGACACCGGTCATCCCCATTGGGGTAATTATCCGGCGCGTGTCGTCCACAATCCGACACTTACCCCTACCGATAAAGCACCTACCCCCCGACTTGATATTACAGTCACACTAAAGGGTTGTTGGTGAAAAATATTCCTAAGTTTACTTAATAACGGCCAACAAAATTACAAGTTATCAACTTTGATATTTCATCAACAATATGAATAATGGGTGTTTTTTTTTTTTTTTTTTTTCGTCCTCAAAATTTAAAGTGTATAATATTTTGATTACAAACTTAATTTATAGAACCCTGTATGCCTCAACATTCAGATCCTATAACATATAACTTATGTCTTATTGTTAAAGTTATAATTATTATATTTTAAATTTTTTTATATGAAAACAATTTTATGTCATAAAATGTCAATAATCAACACTGACTGATAGTTTACTATTTTCTCCTAGTATAACTGACAATAAATATCTTCAAGAATATATCAAAATTTTGATTTCTGTTGATATGATAATAAATCATCATAGCTAGCTCGGTGTTATAAACTTTCACAGACTGTTATCAGTGCTTAAGCCTTTGTTGACAGCTGATATCTGGGCGCCCCTCTCCGATCAAAACCGATAGACTTGAGACTCATTGTGTCGTATGTTGCGCTAATGATGTACGGCTAGGAGTGTATAAGACAATAACTAGCTCCCTGCAAATTTTAATTAAACCTATGTTTTGTTATTTAACAGCGCCATCCGAACCCGCACAATGAGATTGAAAGATCTTTTAATGGCTCCGGGCACGTTGAACTTGTCTTATCTTTTTCTATATTTTTAAGTGTGTTTTTTTTTTTTTTTTTATCTTTTACGAAAAGTTATGGATTTCACTCACGAACAACAAACTACAAATTAATAAAAAATTACGACAATTGCACTATTTATTTACCTTGTGCGATCCGAACAGCGGGCATTTTTATCCTCATCTTGAAGGATGATTTGAAGTTTTGAGTTCTATGTTCAAAGTGGTGGGTCGACGGTAGAAGCTGCCATATCACACACGGGCTCACACATGTATACAACAAGTATGTAGATAGCTACTAAGAGCTAATATAAATAATAATTATGTATAAACAAAAACACGTAAAGCTATCCCCGACAGTTGTGATGGGTACCGTCCATGGGGTTACTATCGGGGCGACTGGGCCGACAGCCAGGGGCAGGGGGAGTGGACGGCGGCGCTCGGCTGCCTTCGGGTACCTTCGGGGAGGCTCGGCTCTCGGGTCCAGCGCGGACCACCCCCACTCCTCTATCTCATCCCCACTCCTTGCCATGCTGCCACCCCCTTCGGTAAATCATGCCTTTTTCCTCACTCCTACAGTCTGCTTCCGAAGTCGTCTTTATTTACGTTGTATGCTCCTTTTACGAGAGATCATATATATTGGAAGGCGGAATCGAATCGATACAAATATAATTCTGCATACAAAATTATACATTTATGTAAATTTAGTTAATGATTATTTTATTTCCAACCACTTCATAATTTGTGCCTTATTTAAAATTAAGTTACTTAACTTATATAAATGTAATTGATTTTTTTTTCTGATCATTTTATTATCACGTCATCAGTTTACTCAAATTTAATTTACTTATCAGTTATAATGAGAGAGAAGATACCACGACAAAATTACATGTTTTAATTTATTTATTAACACCTATCAAAAATAAAATTTAAATTTATTATTCTGCCATTAATAGTAAGTTCGCTTATGTTTTTTTTTGTAAATACGCTGCTTATGTAAGTACGCTGAATTTCTTTAAACAAGAATATTGATTAAATTAAATTTGAAAGATAATATATATCGACAGACATAACTCTGGGTATCCAATTTGAACTAACAAGTTGTTGTTACCTGTTGTTTGATTTAATAGACATTATTAGATGTACTTAATAAACATATTTTATCTATTTACCTACTGTGAATTGAGCAAGGGCGTTTTAGCAAGAACATTTACGATTTGATTGACACAAAAAACTTTAAGTCATAGAATTCAAAATTGTGATAATACACGTATTGATTATTAATATAGATGATATATTATTATTAAGATTGTCATATATGTATTCACGAAACATATATCGAACAGTCAGTTTTTCTGGTGTTATCTTTTAATATCAACAAACTTAATCACAAATATGGCTTAATATTTTATATATAAAGCTATATTTGATTTAAACAAAAAAAGTAAAACATTGAAATACCGATTGTGATATAAAAAACATATACCTTTTGTATCACATCTAATTTTAGATGAAATCAAAGATTTCTGTATAATCTATTATATAGATGCTATTATATATAATACAATAGCATAGATTTCTATGCTCCAGTATTAACCTGTTCTGGTTAATTCAAATGTTAAGTTTTCATTAACAAACTTACAATTTCTGTTTTTTATTAATTATCAAGGCATCAATATCAATGCGCCCTAAAATCAATTTTGTTAGTTTCATTCAGAAAAAATAAGCATTAAAAATGCTCATTTACAACCATTTCATTAAAAATTAATGATGACAATGAATTATGATTATAAGGTTTATCCAATTTTTATTTTATGAGGATTGGGTTAAGGCTGTTTAAAAATAAACCAGACTTTATCTTATCATATCATATCAAATAGAATTGCTGAAAAAAAAGTTTGTGTTTGTACTGTTATTTTTCTGTATAATTCAATTAATGTTCTTGAAGACATTCGCTTGCAAGAAATTTGATCATCCCTGTTTCAAAGAACAACATTCAAAATAAAAATAAAAATATCAACATTAATTATGATTATTTAAGATCTGTCTCTATTTCATGTCAACGAAACCCGGTTAAGATCTTTTGGAATAATATTAAACTAATAATTCGGTCTCTTTTTATTACAGGTACCAGCATTGAACCTCCGGTATTAGTCAAAAGAGACTGAAGACTCAATACCATTACCATCGAATCACATCGCGATTTTCCAGCTTACGCTTCGGTCTGTCCCTAAGACGCTTACCAGTTAGCTCCAACCGTATCAGCGTCCAAAACTTTTACATTTCTACATGTCTCTTATAATTGTCGCCATGCAAATGTGAACATCGAGCTAATGAGTGTCAGTACACTTTTAATTTAATTAATCATTAATGATGCAGTGATTTTATTATGTATTAACAAATAACAAAGAGAAAAATAATATTTAAAATATAAAAATAATAAAATTATGGTGTTTATACATCGTGGATTCGCAACAGGTTCTAGCTCTAAGTTTCTACGTTGTTCAAATAATACATATTTAGGTCATGTAAGTTTTTTTAGTATTAAGAATTTTGGCCTGTTGTGATTTTTCTTGAACTGTAAGGACTGTAAGTGATTTAGAGTAAGGACTATATTAGATTATTTTAGGAATAACCATTTATTTACTTATATGTATATAGCTTTGGGAAAAACTATTGATATTATTGAATCATTAATTAATTTTCAGATATACACTTTTTTATATTGTTTTGGGTTTTAGAAATAATTATATAATTGTTTATTTATTCTATTTACTTATTAAGAAAATATATATATATACATATTTTATTTTGTTTTGTTCTCTTTCAATAGGAATTTACATATGTATACGGATTTATATTTTTATTTATTTATGCTTTCATTGCCATTCAATACTAACACCAAATGGGCCAAACTCCATGGCTAAATGATGTACATAATAGCCAATAAATTATCTCTCTATCTATCTATCTGATTTTTCTTGAACTGAATGTCCTTTAGTATGCTCGGTCCTATTTTTTCTTCTTTCTTCTACTTCCAATTTCATACTTATTTTTGGAAATATTTCTGCATACATTCTTTCAAGGTGTAGTATACGTTTTAACTTCCTAATGTTGTAATGTACTCACAAACTTTTCATGGATTATAAATATCAAAATGCTTCATAAAAATAAAAAAATTTTTTTTTTTTAAATAAGCATTTACTATATGGTTCTCATATCAGTCAATATATATAGACTTTGCCATTAGTAGTCCTCTGGAGGATTGTAAAAGATAATGAAAAAGGTGTGGCTCTGAGCCTGTGAATGATATTGCAAACGGTGTGGTGTAAATTTAGAATCAAAGCAATTACTATAAGTTAGGAATGGCCATTGATAGTCATTAATATAGAAATATCGATATTTTTCTTCCAATTTTCGAGATTATCATCGAAGGCATCTACTTTGATAATATTGATTACCGATATCGTCCCTACCATAGTTTAATATTTGAACTAACAAAAAAATTTAAAACTATACTTTTCATAAAGCTCTAGCGAATGTATACAAATCTGATTATTAAAAAAAAAAGCTGTTCTTGCCTGTTCTCCTACAGAGTGTAGCACTAGCGGATTCAGGATATCATTTTGGGGGTAGAGAGGCTTCAGCCCGAAAGGATTTATTTTTTCATAAAAATAACGATAATTACTTTCGAAAAAAAGAGAGAAACTAACTACCAATACGAAATGGTGTTTAAGTGATTCCTAAAGTTCTTTTAAATGTAATCACACGAATAATAATACTTTCAGAGATAATTTTAAATATTTTTTTCCATAAAACATGGTTATATTTTACCATTTTTTTTTTTTTTTGGGATGGGGGAGGGCTTCAGCCTCAAAGTCCCTCCCGTGGGTCCGCCCGTGAAAAATACCGCGTGAAAAAATGTTATTCTATAAATGACACAATATTGTGAAATGAGCATTCTAAGAGAAAAAGGACATGCAATAAATGTAGTAACCTCATAAGTGAGTAATTTACTAAATTTCAAATTTTTAAATAGTTTTAAATGTTTTACCATGTAATTAAAAAAACTTTCGCGCGCCAAATTGAAGGTGGCCGTTATTTGGATACCCTTGTGCTAAAGAATCAATATTTATATTTAATATTCATATTTAAAAATTACTGGTAATTCAAAAATGTTAATAACATTAATGAAAATATTGTATTTCTATAGTATCGATATTTCAAGTCCGTTATTTTGATAGAATCTATAGATATAGGCCTATATTTCTATCGACGACGATTTTGAAATTAATAGATGTCGAGTATATTAAATAGTGATATGGGAAACAATAAATAATCAATCGACCATTTTGCTTGTTACTTCAGATTGAAACAATCATACTCTATGAATATTAACTTTTTTGCTAATTCTGACAGTCTTGTATCAATAGATATTTTTTTATTAATTTATTCCGTTTAATACTCAGTGATTGTTAAAACAATGCAAGTATGAAATATTTACATCTAAAACTGTACAGTATAGCAAACAATCAATGCCATCAGTACCGATTTTCTAAAACTACATTCCATCCTTCAATAACCAACCATTACTACTAGGAACTAGGAACTGACTGTTGGCGACATCAGCTATATTGTTCTCCAATCCTTTGTTGACTTGTAACAAGTGGATGATGTCAATAAGTCGCAATTCGCCCGTGAACTGTTGTTATTTAGAAGGTTTTGAGTCATGCTTTGTATTTCTTGGTAGCTTCATGTAAGTAATTGGAATATTGGACTAAATAAAAATATGAGGACACAAATATGAGGAAAATAATTTTATTAAGTTAAGAATCAATGACTCATGATAATAGATAAATAAATAGATTTGAATAGTTGTAGTTAATATTAATAAGTTTTGTTACAGGTTGAAATATATTTTTATTTTTTTTCGGTTTGGTACTAAAGACCAAAGATCTTCAGCCACGCATGCCGTCTTCTTACAGAATCTTTACCCCGGAAGTAAACAACACCATATCCATTTTTGTATTTGTTCAGGGGAGCTAATGTTCCATATCGTTGAGCTATTAAAATCTGTTTCTTTGTCTCTAAATCTGTACTCCGTAGGTAAAGAAAACCTTGCCATTTTTTTATATTTCTTCGGAGAGCAAATTTTTCAAAACTTAAAGCTATTAAAAATTGTATCGTTACTAAATTATTTAATACAAAAATGGACACGTGTTCTTTATCTCCGGATTACAGATTTAGAGACAAAGAAACACATTTTAATAGCTCAACGTTATGAACATTATTAGCTCCCTTGAAAAAATACAAAATTGGACATGGTGTTTTTACCTCCGGAGTACAAATTCTGTAAGAAGAAGACATGAGTGACTTTGGTCTATAGTACCAAA